AAGCAAAACAAGAGCAAAAGCAGACCATGTAGCGCTGAGAATAGCTTCTGTACAATCTGATGACATGTCAGGGTGGGGTGGAAAAAAAAGAACTGTGCTTATGTCGTCTATTTAGAGGGATAGAGGCACTCCCATGGCGAAAAAAATTACTCTTCCAGTTGAGCCACCTCTGTCTGAATGTAGTGCCCTTGTGCTGGGGCATATCTCAGTTGACACCAAGCGGGAATCATCTTGAACTGGTCGACAGCCAATCAGAGAGAACATATCAACAAACAATCTTTCAAACACTCATTTATAAGCAGTTAAATCTTAACTAACGCTGACAAAAAAATGTTTTTGAAATTTGGAAAGAAGCAGGTGTATCAGGGGAAAACACACACAGGCAAAGTTAGAGCGTACAAACACTGTACGGAAAGGCCCCACCTGAGATTCGAAACCCCAAAACTCAGAGCTGCCCAATTTTTATGACCCAAATTAATTGATGCCCTCCAGTGGAAGTTTAAACATTTCGTCAGTACCGACGGAAGGCCCGTCAGTCCATCACTGACGGACTCCCGACTTGCTGGCAAGTGACAAATGACGAAAACTTTGAAACAGTAAGTGTGACTGATAACAAGAGTCACACGGTTACCCTTGTAAACAATTTTTTACTGACGGTCCTAAAATAGCGGTGACGAATTGTAATTTAGCCATGGCTGAAGAGTGGGTAAAATAAAAGACGGACTGACGACTGACGGGCGGGTTTGGCATGAAAAAATGACGGACTGGTGACGGATGAGTGACCGGCAAAATTTACTTCGGCGTCCACCTCTGAGTTTAAAATACAGTTTTTGTAATAGTCAGAAACACAACAAAAGTCTGTAAACTTTGATAAACTTCTTGTGTATTTTTTTTCCCCTGGTCTCTCTTCTTTCAGATTATGTCCCACAAAAAAAGCCACAATGAAAGCTCAATGCACAGTTTAATCATGTGCATTGAGCTCATTTTAGGTACGTTGAGGTCTTCCTTGGCACCGTGAATGACTGTGGCCCAGGCAGATGACAGTCGAGAAAGCACTGAGGCAGATAGACAAAGACTTCACATCTTACCGCGTCTTAAATACGACCACAAAAGAGAATTGATGAAATGCTAACATTTTAGCAGCAATGCTAACCACACTGTAATGCTGTCAATAAGAAATATGATTGTCAGCATCCTCCTCGTTTCGAGGCTTCCCCTGTCACGCCGGCGTGAGACGTGTCAGCTACTCGCCGCTGATTTCCCATCGTTAGGTCGCAAGAGGTGGCGGAGCGTGTGGTTAATGGCAAGATTTATGTCACGGCGTCGCTCAAAGTGAAAGGACGGCTTCCGCGCCAAACTTGGTGATTAGCGGGGAATCCCGGAGAATATCACTGTGGAAGCGTACAGCGGCAATATATACGCACACATTTTTAACATTATATTAAGTTTTGTTATTTTATGTCAAATGTTCTGTTACCGCTACAGCTATTACGAAATCGCGCCATAAGTAAAGATGTATTGTCTCGTATGTGTGTGCTTACTGCTCTTGGGAGGACTTCACTGATCCCACTTTTCATTGTTGGTGCCATTTATACAAAACGGCGACCAGATCCAAGTCAACTTTTAGAGGCAGTGTGCAAAAGTGGTTCATCAGATAGGGAACTCCGTGTCAATGTAATCAGCGGAATGCAGAGTATTTAGAGACGCACTGGAGATAAAGGACCACGTGGATTGTAACGAGTACATGCAAAAGAGCTCTCCGTGATATAATCTTTATTTATACCACGCTTTCACAACAGCTGCAGCCGTGCAGTTTGTTGGTGCCCAAAAGGCCTTAAAAGCACGAAGCAAAGCATGACCCGGCCTTAATTAAAGAAGGTTAATATTCAAGATGGCCTCCACCCTGTTCTTCTTTCGAGGCCCAGGCGGATGCTTCATTTGAGCCGAGGCTGTGATTTGTTTTCAATTTTCATGTCAGTGGTTTGTCACAGAGTCTGCGAAGAGTCGTTCAAGCTCACCGCAGAATGACATCAAAGCAACTGAGCATTTATTTTTATACAGCGACTGCTTGATTGTGACTAAGAGAGACAGTGAGCTCACTCTACAACATAAATGCTAGTTTGTTTGGGGTTTTTTTTAGCTTTCTTTCCCACCCGACTTGGTTGGATTATTGTAGACAAGACGGTGAAAGCCTGAAGCATCTCCCCTTTTTTTGTAGCAAGGTAATACACACAGTTCACAATGACTTCAGAGTTTTCTGGAGTACAGCGTATTACTCAGTTAAGAATGACTCAGTATTGCGGTCGCAGTGTTGGTGCCGACTGATGACTGACTTTAGATACCACAGCTTACTCTTCCGTTCAGTACGTTTCATTCATTTTCCTCCATTACATTTCCTACATGACCCAACCTCATTTTACTTATCGGATGTCAAGTTTCATCTGCTTCCTTTTGTGTAGCACCTTTTGTTTTTGTTTTGTATATAACTCGCTCTGAATGATCTTGATGTAACATTCTGTACTTTCTGTATGTATTTTTTTATATGTTCCATTTTGTACATTATATTTCGAACATTTCACATTGTATTTTACAACTAATAATAAATAATGCAGAGGCAAAGATATTGTGTGACGCCTTGTTTAAAGCATATTACCCTGGCAAGCCAAAAATAAAAAAAATGAATAAAGTACCCTACTTTGGGTCCCACTCCTCAATTTAGGAACTTGTAACGTTTTTGAAAGAGGTTCTAACAGAACACAATTACCCAGCTTTTACAATAATTCCTAAAAAAAATGTGTGGAAGTGCAGCAGTGATTCTGGAACGTTTTGTTTTTTTTCCATACACATGCAACGACACCTTATTGCTTTAGCCGCCATGCGACATGAAGCCAAAACAGAGGTGTCCTTTGTTTGGTCCACCTTACCGCCGACACCGCAGCCCACCGGCGGGGGGAAATCCGCAGGCAAGGGCGGCTCGCGTTTCAATGCCGGACATAAAAAGAAACATCTAACATGGTATGGAAATTAGCTGGTGTGTCGTCGAAGCTCTGTCATCTCTGAAAGAAAATCCAGAGTTGTGTAACTTTTGCGGCTTCGGTGACAAGCTGCGATGGTCCACCGGCTTTGCCTTTTGGCAGTTACGTGCCATGCTCCATTTAAAGAAAACATTAGGGGTTCTTTTTCATAGAGAGTGCACATTCGCTCGCCATAAAAACTTGCGTTTCTCGCTATTCGAGCTGGGGCGAGTCTAAATGTACCGTGTATGGGAACTTCGCAGACTGGGCTGCGCCATGCTGGGCGTTTCAATGGACCAAGGGCGTTTTTTTTCTTTTACATGCAACTGGCACACCATTGGCCGGGAAGCAAGTCGGTTGTGTTCACTCCCACGACGGCAAACCTCCCCCTTTCTAACTGCACCTGTCTACGAAAAACAAAACATAAGAAAGAAAACTACGCCCAATCGCACGGTTCGATTTTTTGGCGCGGGCCACTTTGGAGTTACTGCTTCCCTCAGGGGGCCGGTTCAAAATCTCAACGTTATGTATTACCCATGACAATTTGACATTTCGGTATAGATTTCAGCAAGAATCATGATTTGCTCCCGCGGGCCACATAAATTTACATAGGGGGCCGGATCTGGCCCCCGGGCCTTGACTTTGACACCTGTGAGCTACAGTTTTCCAGAATTGTCATAGAAGTAGTAATTTACCATTACTGCTGTTGACTTTTGACAATCTGGTACAATTCTTCAATTCAGTTCTCTATGCTGTGAACCATATCTTACATTCTGCACTTTAGCTTTCATATGTAATAATTTGTAGTTTGCTGAGATGTTCTGAGCACGTCTCACTGGGAGGAGGCCATGGTGATAAGCCAGGACAGGCTGGATAGACCAGGTCTTCCAGTTGGCCTGGGAACGCCTTCGGATCCGTCCGGAAACACTGGCCGAAGTGGCTGAGGAAAGGGAAGTCTGGGCTTCCCTGCGACAGCAGCTGCACCCGTGACTCAAATTCAGATACACGGAAGAGAATAGATGGATGGGTGGATAATTTGTACGTTGGCGCCATACGTTACCTATCGTATGTTTCCTTTTGTCAATTACCTCACATATGTTACACTTTGTAAGTTACTTTTCAACCCTGCATTTTGTTAGTTATGTTTTGCACTTGTCAGTTAAGTTTCGTAAGTGACTTATTCAACCAGTCTCAATCTTGCTCATCCAAAAGGTGGATTTTTTTTCGTTCCACACAATAGTTCCGCTATAGACTTTGATTCACTGGGTGCAGAAAAGCAAAGAGCCCCAAACAGTTCCCACAAAGTCTGACGTATACAGCAGGCGTTGTCGTGCGTGAGTGACATACATTGTCACTTCTTGCCAACTATCGGTTGGTAAAATAAAATCTACAGTAAACACAAAATGAGTAGCCGCCCTGCAGGATATCATTAACTAAAAAGGATTAGAGACGGTTCCCCGGAAGGCGGCGGCAAGGAGGGGTTGGGCAGAGTGCCTTGGTGCCATCTCCCGCTTGAAAATGGACTAATCCAAATGGGATTCATCAATAAAAATGTGTGGAACAAAGTTGCGGCACTTAAGGCTCAAAGTAGTGATGAGAGAGAGCGAGAGAGAGAGACAGAGAGAGAGAGACAGAGAGAGAGAGAGAGAGAGAGAAAGAAAGAGAGAGAGAGAGAGAGAGAGAGAGAGAGAGAGAGAGAGAGAGAGAGAGAGAGAGAGAGAGAGAGAGAGCGAGCGCGTGCGGCCCTGGATGGCAGCCAGCCAATGAATTAGACGATAAGAAATATGATTCTACTGGCGCACCACAGCAGCCTCGCAGCGACTCCTAACAGAGAGTTTCATTCATAATTGAATTGGTTGCAGCCAAAGAAAAGCAAGACAAGAATGGGACACTTGGTGGCGGATCAATACGGAGACATTCAAATAGATGAGCCTGTCGTTCCTGCTCCACGCAAGACGAATTAAATATGTTTTCTTCGACTTCCAGGTGATAAACTGAAGCGGGAAGGTGGACGAAAGAATGGCAACGCCGCAGTGCAGCTCCAGGCAGAGCAGCTCGCTATCTTCTTCTCCGAGCAGGCAAGTAGAAGGGCGACATGGAGGCCTTAACAGACGCAATGGGGTTTGACAGCGGATCTTTATTGTAAAAAAAATAAATAAAAATAAATCTAGTGACCATAGCTATCACAAGAGTGGCTGATGCAATATGAAGCCCCATTTCCACCATACAGTTCCGAAATGGAAATGAATGAATCAAGCGCCAGCATGAATTAAGCCTCATCACCACATAATAGTCGCAGCGGAGCCTGCCCGCGCAGACCTTTTACTGTAAAACAATCCAGTAGCCATATCTCTCACAAGAGTGGCTGATACAAATCAAAGTCCTGTTTCCACCAAACAGAAAAAAAAAATGGTTCTGAAATGGTACGCACAAGGATGATGCAGTGAACGCATCAGAACCACAACAGTCCCAAAAATGGCGACTCAATATTTTTCACAATAAAAGGCCCACCTAGTGAAAAATCCAGCGGCTCCATGTCACTACATTGCTGATGCAATATGAAGCCCTGTTCTCACCAAACAGTAAAGATAGGTGCCCAAACAGGCACACAAAGACACTAGCAATGCACTCACAAGACCACATTCACGGAACTCTAACGTAAAACGTAATACATCGTAAAACAAGGGCCCTCAGTGTATATTTCTTCAAAAGGCTCTATCAGTGTGTTCGGACACGATACAGTCACTAGGCCCCCCCTTAGGCCATGATAATGTAGAAGAGATGAGGTGAGTGGCTTGTGCGTCACTGCGAGAGGATGAATGGTACTAATACTGTTTAGAGCAACTTGGAGTTTGACGAATCCCAACAAGTGGGGATGGAACTTTTGGGCAGCGTGTCTCTGCGGGTCTTGTGTACACACACATCATCATGTGCCGAATAAAATATTAAACTCAAATTCAGTCCTATTTATCAGGCCCGGGTTTTCATTTTGTATGATAGATTAGAGCCACCAAAATATATGGAAGACCAATTGCTTTGGGCTTTGTTGTGATAGATTAAAAAAAAAAAACCCGATCACAATGCACAGTTGACCTTAGACATGGCACCGCATTAACGTTTTTCGGTGGATAGGTCAGAGGGCATAAAAGTTTCAAACTAATGGAACGCCATCTGACTGAAAAATAACCTCTGCCGTTCTGTGCTAGTAATTTCCAAGCTTCAAGTGGCATCTAAGTTTTTTTATTTTTCAAAAATGAGGAGACAAAACTGTGGTATCCCGCTATTATCAGCATCAAGTCGATTTGACCTTTTAACACATTTACTAAATTGTGAATCTGCATTGACGCGCCACCTTATGCCAAATGTCAAAAGCGCTGCGAGTGTATAGTCCATTGAAAACGGAAAGAATGAATCACACATGGGTCATGTACTGGGGTGGAGACTTTAGCCACACGTGCAAATACACTTGCGACCTCAAAACATCTGTGTGCACATGGGAAACCAAAACATGGACATTTGTGGCTTGAAAAGTTCCTGTTTTTTTGCATGAACTATCAGCCGGGGATTTACTGAATCACCACCAGGGATGGGATGTTTTGGACAGAACGTGAGCGCAGACATGCACTGAGACAGTTGACGTGCGGAGTCCGAATAAGAACAGGAGAAATGACAAGAGATGATCATGTTCGTTCACAACGGCCCAGCCGTGAAAGCCGGCGAAATTGCCTGTATGCACTCTGATGCAGTTTCCTGGCTTCACTTGAAAGGTTGGCCTACAACATCTGGCAGTCACATGTCTGTCGTGGCTCGCCATGAGGACCAAAAAGGATCAGTCGGAGGGCACAGTCAGCAGTTACCACGTGGACGTGCACTTAGCAAATCGTAGCTGGACTTGTACAGTGCGTTTAAAGGTACAGTACCATTAGTACCATGTGCTTTGACCATTTTTAAGAAACCAAGAGTTGGTTTTTTTTGGGTTTTTTGGCCCCCCGAGGGCGACCATAATTATGATATGGCTGCGCTGAAAACACGTTTGACATAACTACTATAACGCAAATTCTCTTCAATTTGGAGCATCGGTTAGAACTTTGTTGCAGGCAACAGCAGGGAGGAGTCAGGCTGCGCATAGAGTTAGCAAATCGTAGCGGGACTTGTACAGTGCATTTAAAGGTACAGTACCATGAGTACCACGTGCTTTGACCATTTTTAAGAAACCAAGACTTGTTTTTTTTTTTTTTTTTTTTTTTGCTTTTTTGTGGCCCCCCGCCCCCTTTGTGATCTCTGTGGAGCGTTCTTCTTTAACTCAAATCATCTGAGGCCTTTGAGTAAATTTCAAGTACGAATGTTTTGGTCGACCACACCCCTCCCTCAGTCGCAAATTAGTTCCAGCCGCGCTTGAATCGCCATACTTGAGCGACAACATCTGCTCTGCTGCACACCTGCCCATATGCCGCAGGCTAACTCCGCCACGTCGGCCGACGGAACGTTAGGCTCTGAGACGGATGGTGGTGGCGTGTTTTCATTCAAACTTTGCTGTTCTAGCCACACATGCACTCACTCATACAATGCGAGGACACGTGTCACGCAAATTCCCCTCTAGTTTCTGAGTGATGATTTCCCAAGAGACACTGTCAGGAGGAGTTCCTCCTCTTCAAGTCGGGCTTTGCAAAGTGCAAAGACCAAGGCAGGAACTTTGCGATGACCTGCCTAGATTGGTGACCATTCCACAGTTTCGGACCACCCAAATCAGCTGGGATTGATCCTAGCCACGGTGTGAACATGATAAAGCAGTATAGAAAATGGAAGACTGGACTGAATGTGTTACAACACACAGTAGTAGTTACTCGACGCTCTCTCACCAAAGCGTCTATAATCGATTTAGCGCTCACTCTCATGCATCAGATTGCTGGAGAGGGAAAGATCATGAGACCGAGCAATGATTCATCATCAGGAAAAAACACCAGGAGCGCAAATGCTTCAGAAATGAATCACTTCTAAGTTTTTGTTTTCTCTCGAACAGAAAGTGCACACAGAATTTGGTCTTTGCTAGAAATGTAGACATATTCTATTATCCATAATCTTGTTAAGGTCAAGAAGAAGAACTAAAGGTCTTAGTTCGACCCTTCATTGATTCATTATGGTAGCGGAGCATCTTCTCAAGAATTCATCCGTGTGTAAGAGTATTTCATCATGCCGTCTTTTAAGACCTGAGACCCGCTTCTCTTGCTCTGTTGGGTCGAGAGAAATTGCCGCTGTCTATCAACGGTTATTTTAAGTCACACCAAAGCCTGAAAAAAGGCTGCTGGCATTGACTGATGCTCAAGGTAGCGAGTGGCTGACTTCCACCCCTGGAGGAAGAGGACGAGTGTTAATGCAGGATGACGTAGCAGCCGGGACCCCTATCTGGGCCCGGCATGAAAATATTTGTCATGTTTGTCTAAGTGAAATGCACCGCTTCCTCTCCTCTGGAAAACAGACCTATTATTATCCTCATCATTGACGATTTGCGGCCGGCGAGGCGAGTAAATCCAACCCGGCTCATTCTTATGGGGTGATGTGTGGAAAAATGGTTTGGAAATGGCTCCATTGGTGCCCGGACCGGCTTGCTTTAGGTGACGCGAAGTGATTAATCGTATGAAATGATGCCAAAGTGAGAGCGAATGTGCGGCGGCTTTCCCCCTCGTCTGCCACAACAACGAGTGCTCATCAAGCTGTCTGAGTGTGACTCACTCGTCGTCGCGTTCATCGAGAGGTTTGCTGACATGTTCCAAAATTGTCATTCTCTTCTCAGCGCAGCAACTTTGGACAAATTTATTTTGTTGCTTTTCTGAATTATGCATCTATTCTCAATACAAAGTTATGGCTTTAATGTCACGATTAAAATGCATTGAATGGTGCAACATTGGTATACTTTTGACATTTTTTTAAATTTTCCAGGTCTCAATTTTCACCAGATCCTCCTCTAAAACATTCCATTAAAGGTGTCATTGCAACAATTCTATTGATGTTTTGGTAGCCTCAGTAGCCCCATTTCATACTGCCTTCCTGGCAATGCGTTAACTGTCGAGTCGGCATTCAGATGGCTGAGCATCTGGGAAAGTGACATTTGCTTTTCGTGGTTTGACTTCAACCCCCCTGGATACGACATCAGAATGTGGTAAATTCGAAGGTGAGGAACAACACCATCGGTTGTACATCTGCACCGTATATACACAGCGGCAGCGAGCCTGGAAAAAGACTGATCCGACAGCCAGTGTGAAAGTAGCGACTCTATGGCTACGTTTATATATTTTCAACTGATTCTTGGACTCATTCAGCTCTTACAATCGTGATTTTACAGGCGTTTATTTGGCAAAAATTTTGGTTGATTTACTGATTCTTCAACCTCTGGGGTTCCATTGAAGGTATGAAGGTTTCCTGTGTTTGAGCCCTCGGTGGTGCTCTGATTGGCTCGGGGACCAACCTTGTTGCCGTGGCGGGTTGGTGGCGTTGGCCGCTTTCCGCGCTGAATGAGACCTTTGCGTGACCCGAAGAAAAGCCGACATTGATTTGGCTTCATAACCCGCTAGCTGCTGCTGGGTTTGTTAGTGGATTAGACAGAAATGGAGCTGCGGCCTTTTTTAATGATTTCGCCCTGTGTAGCTGAAACCCAATACCTGGCTGCGCAAACGTCATGCATCCAGACAGCTTGCCAATGGAAAACGTGTGTTTGGTGAGCACACACCGCCACAATCCTCTATGTCCGCCTTCAGTGCGGCCTACTACAGATGGTGCCCGAGGAGGAAAATTAGAGATGTTGTAGGCATTGAGCCGGTCACTCCGAGGACTCCCCAGGTACCTGGACTCAAAATTGCCCTCTTAAGCTGCAGTTCATTAGGCAGGTATTGATGCGTTTGCCTGATGCGACCAACTTTTTGGCCAGTTCAGACACCCGGCACTACTCCGTGAACTCTTGCAAGCAGCAGCTTTTGTCAAATAGTAAACAACGGGAGGCGAGTACCACAGGAACAGGTCTGCGTACTCCACATTCCAGTGGGACAAATGCAACATACAGGTACTTTGTGGACATTCAGTACATTCCAATCAATCGAGAAAGCTGGGAGTAAACAAGAGCTGATTGGTCGATTTAAGAGAGGCGGGGCAAACTGATTAAGAAACTTATGAGAGTCAAGTGGCACAAAACAGACACAGGAAAGGTTTCACAGCAGCAAAATGTATGGATGAAGGAAAAAAGGTGTAGAAAGACTTTGGGGTGGGCTTTCGATGAGAAAAAGGGAAACAATCAATTAAGCCTACTAACTAATATTCATCATTTAGCATTCAGCATTAGTGTTTTGTGTTCCTGGCAGCATCCTGCTGCCAGGAACACAAAATTAACTGCTGGGCTCATTTTAGCTCTGTCAAGCAGCACCCTGCTAAGACACGAAAACAGCCTCTGTCAGATGACTTCAAAGTTTGGAGGGTTTGTAAAGAGAAAACAACTCCACTGCGCCGCATTAAAGACGCACATAAGGCCGGATCAGAGATTTGAACCCAAAACCCAAGAACTGTAAGGCACACCTGCGAGCTTTTATTTCACGGTGCTGCATGTCTGCCGTGACATTTTGGAAAATGAGATTTGAGTGGTTTGACTTTTACTTTTGACTAAATGCAGGCCACTTGTTTCTCCCTGTGGTTGTCCGTCCAGCAGTAGTCGCATACAATGCCTGCAGGTGGACTCGGTCCAGCGCTGGATGGAGGACCTGCGTCACATGACGGAGGTGGAGTGCATGTGCGTGCTCCAGGCCAAACCCATCGAGGTCGAGGACGATGCCCAGCAGGCCGAGCTGATCGTGTCCGGCAGGGCGGTGACAGGAGAGGCGGCAGTGGGGGACCACGTGGCCCGCAATAACCTGCAGACACTGCTTCGCCGGGCCCTCGTCGTTAGCACCGAGCTGGGTAAGATGTTCCAGCGGCTGGAGAAGGGACGCTGGCAGAGGGTCCACAGTACAGCGGTGCGAGCAAATTGTCACGTGCGCTCCCTGGTGCATGAGTACAGCGCAGCACGCGGCACGCCGCCAGAGATGCAGAAGGTGAAGTGGACGTTGGGCTTTTTGAACGCTCAACCGGTGATGTCGGGTCACTCATCCGTGCGGTTCAACTTTTGTTACAGTTTGAGACATCTCTTCTGGGGAAGTGCATGGAGCTGACGAATATCACAGAAAGGTACGACATCAAGTCACCGATAGCGTAGTAGCCGGTTAGCGTTCCAGTAGACTCTGACGATTGACGTTTTGGCTAGCACGTGTCGATTTATTGCTACTTTTCTCTGCAGGTGCATTCACACCGAGGACGAGTTCTTCCTGAAGTCCATGAGAGATGCCATCCACGAGATCCTGACGGATGTCAGTGATTCATTCAGCAACATGATTGACATGGCATTAGCCAATGAGATCCAGGTTGGTACCATATGCCATTTTGTACTTTATAGACAAATTACTTTTGGGCTTGATGTTCTCATGTTAGATCTATGATCTCTATCGCAGGTTCTGATCAAGCAGATTGAATCTTCAGATAACGTCCACACCATCGGCAGCGCCATCAGCAACCTGCTGTCTCTCACCCAGGATGGACCGCAGCTTTGCAGCATCATCGCCAAGGTACTGAGGAGGGGATGCCCTTCAACTTAAGTCCGGGGTGGCCGTATTAACCTGACATTGACTCGGTTTATACCGACCAGTTGAAGTTCAGTTGAAATCTGAGACCAGTAGATCAGGCGATCTTGCGCATCTCGTATCAGGAATCATTCCAAATCAACTGGTTCCTTGCATACACAACCATGCCTACATCAGTTAAAATGCAAAGAAGATGAAGTGAAATCTTGTTTTTTCACATGAATGTAGTGAATTTGCTTGAAACAGGTTACAGCTGCTTCTTCTTTGTATTCCCAGCAGTCTGGTTGACTTAATAACACATCGCTGCCTCTCACAGGTCAGTTCAGGTATGTCATCCAGTTACTTGTAATTTGGCTGCAGTGACGAGACTCTTAATTGCCGGTGGGCAGAGGATTAAGTGAGAGTTTGTTATCGACGTTGAACTTATTGTTGTGTTGGGTTGTCTTTCACAATCTACGTGTGCACCTTGCCTTTTAAGTGTAAGAGGCTGTTTAACTGCAAGATCAGGCAAGCAGATCAGACAGTAAGTCTCAATTGGGCCATTAGTTCGCTGGCCGCTTCCAGGACACACACACATACGCAGATTGTAAAATCAATCCTGTCAGTTCCCATTAGTAGAGAACGTTGATCACGTGGATTAGTCGCGACTACCTATCAATCCGCCCCACCTTACTGAAGGGCGGAGAGTGGGAGGCTGCCTTCCAGCAGCCACGAATGATTGGCTGCCATAAAAACCACACACACACACACACACACACACACACACACACACACACACACGCACACACACACACACACACACCAAAACTAAGTGCGGAATTTCTGGCAAATCTCCAAGCTTCTCCAATCCTCATTATCATTTTCCGCAGAGTGCGTACTTATCTTCGTTTTTTTTTCTCCCTTTCTCCTGTTAAATGCGATTAGATTTTTAAATGCTGGGAAGGAGAGCTGATATTTTCTCTGTGGTAACACACAGTGTATAACATAGAAAGTAGTCACAGTGTGACATAAATTGAGTACAGTGCAAAATTGCCTTATGACAGACAGAAGACTCTGTATTATTGTATACTGGAAAAAATCTTTGGCCTTTTCAGGGAATGGCCCTCACATCGCTCATGTGATGTCTATCAGGGGTGAACCCACTATAAAAAACGTTTCTGTATGTAAATAAGTGTTGATCGGATGCTTCGTGCACAACGGAGTGCAAATTACAGAATTACACGCCGCATTGGTCTGTTCGTGCAAATGCGCCGCGACGGAGAGGCATTTTTAGCCTTGTGCGTGATGATGTCTGGTTGGTACGTGGAAACGATTGCTCAATGACATGTGAAAGAGCAAAGCGGCCGTGCAGGTGAAACAAACGACAAATTAATCGCATTACTTGGTGTTTCTCAGCAAGCCTTTTCTTAACAGCCTATCCGGAATTAGTGTGAACTAAAAAAAAGCTACGCGACAAATTAATCGCATTACTTGGTGTTTCTCAGCAGGATTCAAGAAGCAAGCCTTTTCTTAACAGCCTATCTGGAATTAGTGTGAACTAAAAAAAAGCTACCAAGACCATCTTGAATCCATCCATCCATTTAATTAGCACTTAACTAGTGCATGGTTGCTGAATCTTTGGTGTCTATCGCAACTGATATTCAAAGTGAGTGGTCTTCAGATTGGTTGGCATATCTGCCTCACACGCGAGAGGTCCTGGGTTCAAATCTGGGCTACGGCATTTCTCTGTGGTGTTTTCACGTTCTTGCCTGGGGTTTCTCCGGGGCTACACCGCCATACTCACACATTCTAAAACATGCATGTAAAGCACATTACAAACCAAGGCGCACTATTGCGTGAAAATAATCACACATCTACTGAAACGCTGCAATGGAAATATTGCGACTATGTATCGAGGGATGGGGCACCACATAAAGTATACTGTACACTATGGTTCTTTACAAAAACCTATCGCAATTGTCAACGAAGAAGCGAATGGCCACGAAGAATAGGAAAAGAGCAAGAATAAGGAGAATGTGTATATTTTGAGATTGCCTCATTCACTGACTGCACCCGTTTTTAGGCACAGGCGCATACGGTATAAAATCCAGAATACATTTCAGTAGGATTGTAAAATGCAACGTATACAGTACTGTATTGGTTATATACACTTTCAAGGCTGGCCCCTAAATAAAGGTGTGAGGTCAAATTTCAGAGCCACGTGTTTTGTTTTCAGCTGAGCCAGACCAGGTCCCATGGTGCAAACATACTGAAATGGACAGACAGCCAAATGTATCTTAATTGAATAAATAATGAAGGCCTACAGAAACATAAATGTTGAGGGAAGCATTATTTTGGGAGGGCCAGCAGCTCATTGCGCTTCTAAATCAACAGGTCCTGGAATGACCCATCAGGTTGAGGGAAGCATTATTTTGGGAGGGCCAGCAGCTCGTTGCGCTTCTAAATCAACAGAAGGTCCTGGAATGACCCATCAGCGACAACAAAACATTGGAATTCATCGCGATGGATAAACATTGCATATTTCATGAGCTGAAAACACTCAGAAGATGATGAAAAGCTAAAAAAAAAAAAATGTATCAGCTACATGTCCATGCAAACACAGTTCCAGGTAGTCATCTGTGTGCAAATAGATGGAATTACCTGGTGGAAGGACAGCCATTATCCAAATAAGGCCATTAGAGTGGCGTGTTCTTGACGTGGTGGAGTGGCCAATCACCCTGCCCTCCACGCCCTGAGCTCATTTTCCTGTTTGGATGATTGGACAGCCCGCCCAGGTTCTAGGAAAGACCACAGTTAGAATGTTTGTTCGATCTGAGAAAATGCTACTGATTTTGGATGATGCAAGATGCTAAAGCAACACGTTGCATCTCACCTTTTAACGAAGTTGAGTAGGTTTTGTTTTGTTTGGTTTTTTTTTTTTTTTTTGCTGTTTTGTTGGCTTTTTGTGTGTGCGTAATGTGTAATGCTAAGGAGAGGTACAAAGGTACCATTTAGACCGAGGGGAAGATTTCCTACAATTGAAATTCTACATTGTCTTGAAGCAACTTGTAATTTGGAATGGATTGTTTTCCACTTTGTATGGACATCCACATACCCGACTTTTGGATATTGGGTGAGGAATCGGTTTTCATTTGAAGGGGTAGTCAATTGAAATATTTCTTTGCAAAAATATGCGCTATGCTATTACTTCCGATCGATAAATAAAGCAACTTACAAAGTCAGGTTTGCTAAATGTGTTTTGAGGAACAAAACAAAAAACAGTTGATCACGATCGGCCATCTTTGTTTTTTTTACATTCATCTGGAATCCTTTGATATCGCAACTGGCACAGTCCTAGCGGAAAAATCCAACTTCCCACTTTCCTGAAATGCGGCATAAATTTGCCAATGTCACACGACCAAACCCAGAAAAACAGGTGATCTGTGACAGTCACGCCCTTAGGCACTGTGATGTCATTTTTAGTTGAAGTGGCAGTACAAAGCAAAATGGCGAACGCCCCTGAAATGGATCGGATTTTTCTGCTTAAATCATATTCCGCAAACACAATCTTAATCAGTATGCTGTGTTCGGTCGAATACAACAATTACAAAGACATTTTTTTAACCTGGATTTAATTCCCATTCAAATTTGGCCGAAAGACAAGTCATTTAAAGTCGATTAACCCACTTCTCTTTAAGTACAGTGGAATTGAAATGGTTTAGTGGTCTGACAAAGTTATACGGTCCGAAAGTTCAACCCAGCATCTATGAATCTCTGGCAGGAAGGCGCGGTGGTGTCGCTGTTCAAGATCTGCCGGCAGGATCGCTTCAAAGGCCTCTACGCTCACGCTCTGAGGACCGTGGCCTCCATCTGCTGCGTGGAGGAGGGCATCAAGCAGCTAGACAAGGTACCCACGCACCCATCCATCCACTTGGAAAACAAATCATGCTCTCATATTGATCTGCAGTCTTCAGGCCAAGGAACTGCTGTACTAATATCATTCAACTTTAGTTGGACTCTGATTTAAAATCAACCACGATTACTCAATAAGCCTGAGTTAGCGTTTCTTCAAAGACTTGAGAGTCGTCAGGGGGAGCCCGGTAGTAAAACACATTTAATATCTCCTGGTGTTTGAAAACTTTTCTTTCCTTATTGCAATTATTAGCTGTAAATGATGAGCAGCTTATATTTGTAAAAATGTAAGACTGAGGGGGAGAAGCAGGGGGGAGCTTTCAGGCATGAAACGTCTGAGCAAAGTCCGCTCCCGATGAGTGAGGCGGCGGTGTCCTCGGGGGAGCGTCCGTCAGCCGCGTCCGCTCAGCCTCGACAAACACAACTGTCGCTGTGGAGGGTGGCGGTGCTGTGCAGGTGCTGTTTATCAGCCGATACACTGCTTGCTTTCATCCCCTAATGGGACTTGATGTAATCACAACATGGAGCATGATGGTTAACAAAATTTGGGAGCAGACCGGATGATTGACAGATTGTTGACTCTCTGGTATCGCTGAGCTTTCACCATTGATTTGGAATAACATTGGACCCTGAATTGCAAAAATCTGTGTCTAAAAAAAACAGGGGTTCCACCCTGCCAAAAATGACAAAATAGTAAAAAAAATGTTTTTTTTAAATTCTAAATTCACCGGCTTCAAACCTCGAGTATGTTGGAGTTCAATGATGTAATCACAACATGGAGCATGATGGTTAACAAAATTTGGGAGCAGACCGGATGATTGACAGATTGTCGACTCTCTGGTGTCGCTGAGCTTTCACCATTGATTTGGGATTACATTGGACCCTGAATTGCAAAAATCTGTGTCTAAAAAAAACGGGGTTCCACCCTGCCAAAAATGACAAAATAGTAAAATACTTTTTTTTTAAAATTCTAAATTCACGGGCTTCAAACCTCGAGTATGTTGGGGTTCGCTGTATTGTTTTCATTTCTTTTTAACTTACAAAGCAAAAATATTTTTCTATTGTTGGTCATACATTCTTTTGTCATTTGACAGCGATAAAAATCTTAACAGAAATTTAGAAACTAAAAAATATAATTTAAAAGGGGTACTATTTAGACTACGCAGCTCTGATCAGTTGGATCAGATCAGCAGATATTTTCATAAATGATCGGGGGAGGGTTGCGTCAGGAAGGGCATCCGGCGTAAAACTTTTGCCAAGACGGACATGCGAGTTGATAGGGCGGTTTGCAGGGACGGATGGGAATTAATGACTCGCTGTGGCGACCCCTGAAAAGGGACGTGCCGAAAGGAGAAGAAGAAGACTATTTAGACTACGCAGCTCTGATCAATTGGATCAGATCAGCAGATATTTTAATAAATGATCGTTTTTAATATAATTTGCCAATTGATCAATGACGTCATTGTTCAACCCGAAAAATAAATCATTACAGTAAACACAATTTTGTTGAATCCAGGGACATTTTGTCCTGCTAAAATTTTCTCAGCAGATTATCCATCAGAAAATCCAATATTTTTCTACTATTATTTCTTTGATGAGCCGGTCAAGTCCCATTCCCCCAGGAATAGCGGGTGTCCACTGTGCAGTAAATAAACAAGTTGTTAAAATAGACTGGATAGATGGTCTATCTTCTTATCGGATCTGTGATTGGTTGTCGTTTTTTTTTTTTAAACTTGCTGATCGGTGATTGGCTCCAAAATCCTGCTTGTATAAAGCCTAATATATATTATTGATTAATAATTATAAACTGTTATTCATTCGTCAGCGGCGTAATATTAAGGATGTTTTAAAAATTATACATATCGTTATATAATAAAAATTGATCTCAGCTGCATCGTTATATAAGTTGGATAAATGCGTTAATAGAGTGAATGAAATCATAGATCATAAAATATATCGTTTAATAATAATAATTCTTATTTACTTGACCCTTTACTGTATTTTATTTGTTGTTAAGTAAGCAAAGTAATGATGTGCAGGCATCCTAACGGGGGTGTTTCACGTCACTGCTGCTGACGTCCACAGAGGCCCAAACTGGGAAGTGTCCTGTGAACGTGGGCGCGTTGATGCTCATCAGCGGATGAGAGTGACAGGTGTGGATTGATGAGAGTCGGTCTGCATGCTCGTCTCCCAACTTTTGTTTCCCCGAAGTGGCGGTGGATTATATTTAGTATTGGCTCACCAACTATTCATCCTTTTTACGTGTCAAAAAACAAAATGTATTTCCCCTTTTTTCATTACGCGGTCAGGCAATAACGTGAAAAAAAAAATCATGCCAAGTGCAAAAAGACGCTGAAGGCACATGTGATGTGCAATACTGCCTCTCCGTGGACATATATTGAATTGCATCTTAAAACATTAAACTAAAATGTAAGACTAATATTTCAAAAAAAAAATCATGCCAAGCGCAAAAAGACGCTGAAGGCATATGTGATGTGAAACACTGCCTCTCCGTGGACATATGTTGAATTGCATCTAAAAACAAACTAAAATGTAAGACTAATATTTACATGAATATCATTACATTTAACATTTTAAATGTTATTAAATTGACACCAAAATCCCTGTGCTGTTAATATAGGATTTTTAGCACATGTTCTGATCATAATATGCAGTAAAGTTACAATTTAAGTGGTGTTGATGATGCTTGGCCCCAACCAGGGTGTGGGTCAGCGGCGGTGGTGGCGCAGATCACGTCGCCGCATCACACGTCCACGCAACACCTGGCCAGCTTCCTGGAGAGCATGCACGACATCGTCACCGCGCTCATCAGTGAGTGATCCACCTGATTTGCAATGCTGCCGGACAGAATACTGTACCAATCTTGCTTTGACAAACACCCGCGCTTCAATTCAAATTTTTGCGCAGGACATTAAAAACGGAATCTGAATTTTTTTCAATACAAATTTAAATGGGCAAAAGTCCAGTACAGCTCAGCGGCACTATACTGTTCAGGATTAAAAAAAAAGTTGACTTCTAGAGGATGTGGTACATCACATAACACTTTGAGGATGACTGATGTGAACTCTGGATTTGACAATGTCTGTCAAGATTTGTGCGAGAGCGCCTCCTGCGGCGAGGTCTTCCTTCTGGCGTCGGCGGCCCTTGCCAACATCACCTTCTTCGACAGCATGGCCTGCGAGATCCTGTTGCAGCTCAACGCCATCCACATCCTGCTGCAGGCGTGCAAGGACCGCCAGAGGGTGGACACCCCTTACTCCAAAGACCAGGTGCCGTGTCACCATTGTTAACGGGTTGTAACAATAAAATAAAAATAAAATCGCCTCCAAATTGACTGCTGACTTCAAACGTTTACATTATTAGGTGGTGACTATCTTAGCCAACCTCTCTGTTTTGGAGCAGTGTGCGAGTGAAGTCCTGCAGGAGCAAGGTGATTCCTTCATGATTCCATCTAATAATTTGATTCATTTTTAATTAGTTCTGCACTTAGTGGTTAGCACATTTGTCTTATAGTTATGAGGCTGGGGTTTAAATCTGTCCTCCAGCCATCCTGTGTGGAGTTTGAATGTTCCCCTTGTGCTTGCCTGGCTTTTTCCTCCCACATTTCAAAATCAAGACTCTAAAAATTATCCAATCGGGATGAATGCTCGTTTCCCTGTATGTGCTCTGAGATCATCTGGTGACTCGTCCATTTGTCCAGAAATACACTGATGTTCACCATTACGCATACACGCTCCTCAAGATGGCAGCATTGTGCCAAATATGATCATAACTGAGGACAGGCCTGTCAATAAAACTGGACTGTTATGCTTGAAACACCAAACACACGCTACACTTGTGTTATACTACTTAGTGCACGTGCTGGATGCTGATGCCTGACCGTGTCCTGTTTTTTTTTTTTCCATCTCTCATCAGGTGTGGAGAGGCTGCTGCTGCTACTGGGCGAGAGGCCGTCCTCCTCCAGCCCGTCCGAGGGCGCCGCCTGCGAGCGTGTGCAGCAGAAAGCCGCTGTCACGCTGGCGCGCCTCAGCCGAGACTCCGATGTCGCTCAGGCTGCCATCCAGCTCAAAGGTACCGTGGCTCATTTGTTTTCTTTTGAAGCAGGACAAAATTCTTGCTTTTTTTTTTTTTTTTTTTGTAACTCGATTGAACATAGTCTTTGAACTAAATTTAACAGAAAATATAATACAACGTGTACTGGATTGAAGTTCTTCGGCATGGAGGCCATGGCTCTCAGTCTTAAATGCCTGTTTTACTTTCCTTTAACAAACAAGTCAGTTTTTAAAGACTGAAACAAAACTTGACAAATTTCCTCCAGTCAAGACTGTTCACCCGAATGGCAGTTCTAGCATATGTAAAGCGATTTGCCAGGGGGTCATTTTCATTGGCCCATTCTTTCCATATGTCACGTGACAACTAACCCCCAAATCACTGAGCTACTTTACCCCAAACTACCTAATTCTAGCTCCAGTTTAGAGTTATTTTAAAACAGTACAATGACTGATGTATGATATATGATGACATCTCCTTTAAGAAATCCTGTGAGGATTTTTATCTTGAAGATGCATGATTCAAAATTTAAAAAAAAAGTTTATATTTCTTACTCTCGAGTCGTGGAAAATGGTAAATTGGCCCTCATCTCAGCTCACAATGTGCTATTCCCTTTCTCAGACGGGGCATGGTCCCTGACGATATAAAGGAAGAAAACTACACTCACGCTTTTTAGTTGCGCCCTCTTGTGGAGAACATAAATACTATGTGACAACTTAGCCACGTGACAACAAGCCCCTGGTCTCCCCGAACCTGTGATGACTATGACGACGTTAACAATGTCTGTGAACTTTCCCTCTGCTGCCTTCAGCCGTTCCTCGTCTCATCGAGCTGTGCCGATCTCCGACGGAGAGAAATAACAGCGACTCGGTCTTGGTCGCTTGCCTGGTAAGTGATAGGAGTGTGTGTGTGTGTGTGCGTGTGTGTGTGTGTGTGTGTGTGTGTGTGTGAGCTCTCAATTTCTTTTTTCAGTGCACCGCCTTCATTCAAAATAGTATTCAATTGTTTTCCCCTTTATTGTAAGGTATTAATGATTTTTTTTCTTTTCTTAATATTCCTCTCCAGGAAGTAGTTCACATGTTAAAATGTGCACATATCATGGATATACACTTATGATCATCACGAGGAGGGTGTTGCGGTGGCCGGCAAGTTCATTGGGCTTGCCCTCAACCTCACAATTTGTGGCATTTGGCTGAGGGTTAAGTTGCGCTCTTCAACATACAGATTCGTTCTTTCTTTAATTTTTTTGGCGCATTCAACGTATCAAATTTGTAAATCATTTGTGCATTTGGAGGCAACGCAACTCTGAACCATAATATTAAGGATGTTTTAAAAATTATACATATCGTTATATAATAAAAATTGATCAGCTGCATTGTTATATAAATTGGATAAATGCGTAAATAGAATGAATGAAATCCTAGATCATAAAATATATCGATTCACAGAAGGGCAGCCATTTTGGTTGGAAGCAGCCATTTTGTAGAAATTCCAGCACTTGGATACTTGACAAACTCTGACAAGGAAATTTGTCAAAAAATTACCTGTAGCGGGCATATTACTAATTTGTCTAAAGGAAACCCAATGGACGAAATTGAAAAGAGAATTCATTTTGGTTTGAAGCGACCATGTTACATTTGGAAAGTCCATAGGTTTGTATTGTACACGTATACCTAATATTTTGGAATCTTTGTGTGCAGGCGGCCTTGAGGAGGCTGGCCTCAGTGTGCCCGGACAGCATCGAAGCGGCAGATCATCAGCAATTGATCAAACCGCGCTTGGTCGACTCCTTCCTCCTGTGCTCCAACATGGAAGAGAGCTTTGTGTGACGCTAACATGCTAATAATACGCATCCAACGCTGACTGCTCAAGAAGTGGTAAACATTCCTTGACTGAACCACCGGACAAAACTATGCGAATGGATGTAGAGACATTTATGTGTGTATGTGTGTGTGTGTGTGTGTGTGTGTGTGTGTGTGTGTGTGTGTGTGTGTGG